GTTTTTCAGGCAGGAGTGGGTAGGGAGACAAAGGATATTCTCCAGATGCTTGAGGTCCTTGCCGTATGTCTAAGCCTAGCCCAATCAGGACAGAGAAACCATATAATAATTTGAACAGGAAATTTTAATATAAACAATTATCAACTATAACAGAGAGTTAGAGCAACAAGGGAATAGATAATATTAAATATAAAGAAAAGAAAACTCTGCTATTCCTATTCCTATTCCTGTAGGAATATCGGATATAAGGTGCAGCCACTACTCCTGGGGCTGGGACAGAGGCCCAGGGAAGAGGCTGAGCCACATGCTCAGCTCTGAGACTCAGATCTTGGAAAAAGCACAGCTGTGGCTCACTGGATGGCAGACAACACGCTGTGGTGCTGGACCAGTCGAAATGGCTGGAAATCCACCCTCTAAACTTGCCAGAAAACTATCCTCTAGGGATAGCTAGGGAAAGCTATTCATAGGGTCATGTCTCACTGGAGGTGTTTTTATACAGAACAACCCAAAAATAGGGGTGCTAGAGGAAGCTCTGGCCACTGCGCACTGCAGGAACCTGGTGCAGGTGCTCTGCGTGAGCTGGACACTGGAGAAGTCTCCGTGCTGCCTAATCCTTTTGTTTGAGCACACAGAAACCAGAAAGCAATCCCTTTCTTCCTGTATCCTCTTCTGACAAAGCTTAATGTTGTGCCAACCGACAAAAGAAAATAGTTGATGGGTCCTGATCCATCATTGCAAAGCAGCAAACGGTGAATTTGGAACTGAGTCAGTAAATTAATTCACTTCTTTGACTACTCAGCTTCTATATGCAACCTTCCACAAACTTTTAAAACACATACAACAATAAAACAATTCTATATTTGTACCAATGTCAAGATACAGAAATCTTTCTTGCTAGTGAAGAATGTCTCATCCTTTCTCCAAAATAAGAAGATGCATAATCCCAAGAGTCACTGTATTCATTGCTGATTATATTAACAACTCTTCAAACTCAGGGAGACTATTTCTGAAAATTCTGTTATCTATACACTAAATTGTAAAGTTAATTTTCAACAGCTTGTATATAAAATAAAAATAGGAGATAAAGAGAAAGGAAAATGTTTATCATTTACAAAAATATGCACATACATATAACAAGCAAACTAAAAGTATGCAAATGTACTATAGTCTACATTTCTGTAATTGGTAAATTGTAATTGATATCTATAGATTGTTTCACTTGTACCTGTTCTGAACTTGCCCTGCCTCAGCCAAAACCTCAGCTTGTCTGGTTGAGTGATTCAAAACTTTAATCCAGAAAGATCTGAAGTCTCAGTTATCCTGACTTCTTTGGTTACTGTAGTTTTCCATTAAGCTTTACTATTGGGCATGGAAGTACTAAGAGGCTCAAACATATTATTTCTTGCTTCCACTATATAGAAGCAATCCAATTTTCTTTTTGTAATCAGATCAATCACTACAGCTAATAGATATTTTTCTTCCATATGGGTTCAATAGTTAAGGAGACCAAAATGCCCAGGAGGTAGACTTATCATCCATTGAGAAAACCACTTTTGTGTCCTCTGGTGGAAGAATTTTTGTCTTGCAGACTAAGATCTCCATATCCACACAGCATAAAGTAGCCAGGGTGGGAGGCCAAAAGTCTTTTAGCGGGTTATTAGGTGTAATCATGATAGAAGGCACTTCCATGTCCACCTTTTGATTCCTGAACCCATGTATTCTGACTGTATGAGAGACAGCAACATGTAATGGTCTGTGATTCAAAACACATGCTGAATCCTATAAGACACAATGAGTAGGGGCAACCAAAATGCATGAAACAGGAGAAATTTACTCCTTATAGATCCTAAACAGGTGAAACGAGGCAGTGCGAGGTAGGAGGAGAGACAGAAAGAAAAAGAGAGAGAGAGAAAGAGAGAGAACTTGTGGGACTACACATTTATTAAGATCCATGGCATGATCCCTTAGGCTTTCCCTGGAGGGGGTTGTGATTGTCTAGTTTAAGGAAAACACACATGAAGGAGGGAACTTATTTACATGACTCGGGTTGACCATTAGATTTTACAGTGATTGGCAGCTGTGGGGTGTGTTGTGATGTGAATGAAGACTCCGGCTGAGCCAGATCCATGCTTAGCATTTCCCCCTATTTCAACCTACTTTCCTCAATAAAATACGGGCAAAGAATTCCCAATTCAGACTCTGCGTTTTAAAAACTCATACGAAGACAATATGTTATCTCATTTAATCCTGAAACCAATCCTGAAATACATACAATAGTATAGCCTAAGATCAAATGGCCCATTAGTAACATAATAGATATTGAGACAAGAACCACAACTGGGTTCTTTCTAGAGTGCCATGATGTCAGAAGGTACACAATAAAAGTGGAAATAAAATTTAAGCATCTTGACTCCAGCACAACATTCGGTTCCTCCTCACTGCCTTTCAAATCTTTCTTCCATGATTTGAAAATATTTGTTCAAAGTCTTCAGTTCTCCTGATTGAGAATTTGAAGCAAATTCTTTTTTTTTTTTTGAGACAGAACCTCACTTTGTTGCCCGGGCTAGAGTGAGTGCCGTGCCATCATCCTAGCTCACAGCAACCTCAAACTCCTGGGCTCAAGCAATCCTTCTGCCTCAGCCTCCCGAGTAGCTGGGCCTACAGGCATGCGCCACCATGCCCAGCTAATTTTTTCTATATATATATATTTTTAGTTGTCCAGATCATTTCTTTCTATTTTTTAGTAGAGATGGGGTCTCGCTCTTGCTCAGGCTGGTCTGGAACTCCTGACCTTGAGCGATCCACTCGCCTTGGCCTCCCAGAGTGCTAGGATTACAGGCATGAGCAAATTCTGATTGGGTTGCATGCTTTTCTTCAGTGACTATGTGAATAAACTGAACAGAAATCTTAATTATCCATTTCCAAGTTTTTCCCAGCTCCTGGATTACATAAACAATGTCACGACTACCAGACCACAGATTGTTTTACAATAAATGTGACTTTAAATTTTTTTCATCAAGTCACAAACACATTTCTTGAACTTGGTATAAGTTACAGGGCAAATCTATAGTGCTGTGTAGTCAGGACAGGGGAACATCCAGTGTTCCAACTTTGGATCTTCAGTGTTTTCAACTCTCCTGAACATTTGCCAAAACATTCTAAATATCATATTGTCTTTGGTAATTGATCCATACGGATGTTTATCCACCATAACAAAGCCCCTGATGTCTGGAACTCTTTTAGATACTTACTCCAAGATCCTTCTCAAGAAATCTGAAGTCATTCTGTGCTCCCCCGCCCTGCTGGGTGTATGGGGCCCTCTGCGGCTATGGCTAATGCTCCCAGTGATCTCCATCCCATACTCAAGAACACAAGGATCAATAAACTCTCCACTACGTTCAAGCCAGGAGTGTTGAGTTTTATGTAGCCAATCATTGGCTACATAGATCCTCTCTAATCTTTAATCTCTATGACGATCTAGGCTTTTTGTTTTAACTATTTCTCAACCACTGACTCTAGTCCTTCCATGTACCCATCAAATGTATGCTTTATCATTCAGGAGTTGGGTTGCACTTGAGAGCAGAGATGGGGTGGAAGTTCTATAACTAAAATAATTATGACTTACTAAATCTCAAGTTGTATAAAGTAAATACATGCACCTTTTTATGCCAGTCATACCTAAATAAAAAATATTTTAAAACTACAGTGGAAAAAAGACTGGAAAACATTTCATCCAGAGCAGTATTATGTCTTTCATTTTTTTTAGGGTCTCCATTATTTTCAGAATTGTGAAAATACTTTCTGAATCAATCCAACCCTCCATACTATTACTCTTAAATTTCATTTGCCTCTAGAGAGCAAAGAGAACTCCTCTGCCCTGCAATCTAAGTTCTGTATCAGGCATTGCTGGGGCCCCAGCAGGTTTGGGTGCAGGCTGCAGGTGCCTGGGGAGCACTGTGTGCTGACTGCACAGAGGTAGGTGGCTGAGTCACTGGGCTGCGAGTCTCTGATGAGCAGGGAAACATATCGGCTGCCTTTATTGAGCTGCACTGTAAACCTTCCTTCTTCTTCTTTGTCACCAGTGGAGTATATGGACACCGGCAACTCAGGGCCTTTCCCAGAATATTGTCTGTACCACGCGAAGTACTGAGAAGCAGTGTTGCTATAAGTGCAGTTGAGAGAGGCCGTGGCTCCCTCAGAAACACTGAGGGATTCGGGAGTCTGCTCCACCTCCTTCTGTTGGCTCCTCACACCTGGGCAAAAGACAATATTCAGACAAAGAAGGTTGGTTGGGTAGTGGATACTTCCTCCCCAGAATTTAAATCATCTTTTCACAGGACTCCCACCCTCCCTTAGTTAGAGAAAAAAAAAATATCATGATTTTACCCACAGACCTAGAATGGACAATAGCTCCAAATGGTGAACTTTATGTTCCTATGGAAATACCCAAAACTCACAGCTTAACTGAAGCCACAGGATTGCTAGCAAAACTCTGAAGGATTTCATCATTCTTTTCTCCACTGGTTCAATGAAGATTCAAATTTTAAACTCTAAAAAAAATGAGTGTAGCTTAGACGTTTCTAATTCTTCTGCCTTAGGAATCATAAAAAGAATCTGTTGTACCAATTAGAAGAAAAATGCTCTTTTTATCACCTTTGCTACACCACTAAGCCACTCCCCTCAATCTCTCTCTCTCTCATACACACACACCACACACACACACACACACACACACACACTTGCACTCATACACACACAGGAGAACATGAGCTTTCCTAAGAGTTCCTGGGGAAGACACTGCCCTCTTGTGGACTCTTGATATTGATCAAAAAAAATATTCAAAATGCAGATCATTGTTGTGTGAACTGTTAAACGTAAAAATGACACTTTGGTTAAATTCAGAATATACAAGAAACTCAAACAACTCAACAGCAAAAAAAAAAACAAATATCATTAAAAAGTGGCTAAAGATCTTGCCCATGTCACCATTTCTATTCAGCACAGTGCTGGAAGTCTTAGACAATAAGGCAATAGGCAATAAGGCAAGAGAAAGAAATAAAGGGTATCTAAATCAGAAAAGGGGAGGTCAAACTATCCCTGTTTGCTGACAATATCTTCTTGTATCTAGAAAACTCTAAAGACTACACCAATAAACCCCTAGCATTGATAAATAAATATAGCAGTCTCAGGTTACAAAATCAATGTACACAAATCAGTAGCATTTCTGTATACTAATAACGGGCAAGCTGAAAGTCAAATCAAGGACTGAATACCATTTATAAGAGCCACAAATAAAATAAAATACTTAGGAATATATGTAAAAGATCTCTACAAGGAGAACTACAAAACACTGATGAAAGAAATCATAGACAACACAAACAAATGACAAAACATCACATGCTCATAAATTGGTAGAATCAACATTGTTAAAATATCCATGCTACCCAAAGTGATTTACAGGTTCAATGCAATATCCATCAAAATACCTACATCATATTTCACAGATCTAGAAAGAGTAATCCTAAGCTTCATTTGGAAACAGAAAAGAACCCAAATAGCCAAAGCAATCTTAAGTAAAAAGAACAAATCTGAAATCATCACATTACCTGATTTCTCAATCTTGAACTCCTGAGCTCAAGCAATCTTCCCACCTTGGCCTCCCAGAGCGCTAAGATTACAGGTGTGAGCCACCACGCCTGGCCATGATTTCTAATTATACTACAAGGGTATAGTAACCAAAATAGGATGGTACTGGTATAAGGGTAGAGACATAGACCAATGAAACAGAATAGAGAGCCCAGAAATAAAACCATCTACCTAAAACCACTGATCTTTGACAAAGCAGACAATGACATACATTGGGGAAAGGAAACCCTATTCAATAAATGATCCCGGGAAAACTGGATAGCCACATGCAGAAAAATTAAGCATAACCTCTTTCTCTCACCACATACAAAACTTATTTCAACATGGATAAAAGACTTAATTGTAAGGCATGACACCATAAAAGTTCTAGAAAAAAAACAGGAAAAACTCTTCTAGAAATTCGGTTAGAAAAATAATTTATGACTAAGACCCCGAAGGCAAATACAGCAATAACAAAAATAAATAAGTGGGACTTATTCAAATTAAAAAGCTTCTGCACAGCAAAGGAAATAATCAACAGAGTAAATGAACAACCTACAGAATGGAAGAAAATATTTGTAAACTATATATCCAATAAATACATAATATCTAGAATCTGCAAAGAACTCAAACAGATATGCAAGAAAAAGCAACTAATCCCATTAAAAAATGAGCAAAAGACATGATCACAAGTTCTTCCAAAGAAGATGCACAAATGGCCAAATAACATGAAATAATGCTCAACATCAATAAAATGAAATGTAAAGCCATAATGAGATACCACCTTACCCCTGTCAAAATGGCCATCATGAAAAAATCAAAAAATAGTAGATGCTGGCATAGATGCAGAGAGAAAGGAATTCTTATACACTGTTGTGGGACTGCAAATTAATACAACCTCTATGGAAAATGGTATGGACATTCCTCAAAGAAATAAATGAAGACTTACCACTGGATGCAGGGATCCCACTACTGTATATCTACCCAAAGGAAAAGTAGTAATTTTATTAACAAAGACACCTGAATACATGAGTGGATTAATAAAATGTGGTATATGTATACCATGGAGTACTATTCAGCTTTAAGAAACAATGGTGATATAGCACCTCTTGTATACTCCTGGATAGAGCTGGAACGCATTCTACTAAGTGAAGTATCCCAAGAATGGAAAAACAAGCACCACATGTACTCATCATCAAATTGGTATTAACTGATCAACACATAAGTGCACATATAAGAATAACATCTATTGGATGTCGGGCAGGGGGGAAGGAGGAGGCGGAGGAGGGGACAGGTATATGCATACACAAAGAGTGCAATGCACACCATCCGACGGATGGACACACTTGAAATTCAGACTTGGGGGGGGAGGGGAGGCAAGGGCAACATATGTAACCTAAACATCTGTAACCCCATAATATGCTGAAATAAAAAAAAAAGACACCTGTATTCAATTGTGTTTTGCAACACACTTCACAATTGCAAAGATGTGGAATCAATCTAAGTGTCTATTAACCCATGAATGGATAAAGAAAGTGTGAAAAAATGGGGTGTATACATACATACACACACACCATGGAGTACTATCAGCCATAAAGTAGAATGAAATAATGTCGTTCATAGCAACTTGGATAGAACTGGAGACCATTATCCTAAATGAAGTATCTCAGGAATGAAAAAATAAACACTATGTGGACTCACTAATAATTGAGAACTAAACAGTGGGTGCACATGGGCACAAACAGACATAAAAGATGTTGGAAACTAAGAATGGGGGGGCATGGGAATGAGATGAGGGGTAAAAACTTACTTATTGGGTATAATGAACACTAGTATGGTGACAGGCACACCAGAAGCCCCAACTTAAGCATTATACAAGGTATCTATGTCACAAAAACATTGGCACCCCTTTAATATTTTGAAATTTTAAAGAACTGGCCAAAGATCTAAATAGACATTTCTCAAAGGAAGACATACAAATGGGCAACAGGTATGTGAAAAAATGTTCAACATCACTAATCATCAGGGAAATGCAAATCAAAACCGCAATAAGATATCATCTTACCCCAGTGAAAATGGCTATTATCAAAAAGACAAAAAATAAAAGATGTTGGTGAGGGTAAACATAAAAGGTAACTCACGCACACTGTTGATGGGAATGTAAATTAGTACAGTCATTATAGAAAACAGTATGGAGATTTCTCAAAAAACTAAAAATAGAACCGTCATATATCAAGCAATCCCACTGCTGGGTATTTACCCAAAGGAAAGGAAATCAGTATATTAAAAGGATTCCTGTACCCTCGTGTGTATGGCAGCACTGGTCACAATAGCAAAGATATGGAATCAACCTAAGTGTCCATCAATATATGAATGGATAAAGAAAATGTGGTATATTTACATAGTGGAATACTATTCAGCCATGTAAGAGAGTGAAATCCTGCCATTTGCAGCAACATGGATGGAATTTGAGGTCATTATGCTAAGTAAAATAAGCCAGACATAGAAAGACACATACTGCATGTTCTTGCTCATGTGGGAGCTAAAAAAAGTCAATCTCATGAAGGCAGATATTAGAATGATGGTTACCAGAGATTGGAAAGGGTATGGTGGGTGTGTTGGGGGGTGTTGAAGAGAGGTTTGTTAATGGATACAAACATACAATTATATAGAAGGAACAAGTTCTAATGTTTGATAGCAGAGTAGGGTGACTATTCTTAGCAACAATGCATTGAATGTTTCAAAGTAGCTAGAAATGGAATATACTAAGTTCTCAACACATAGAAATGATAAATGTTTGTGGTAATGTATATCCTAAATACCCTGTCTTGATCATTACACATTTCATGCATGCAACAAAATATCACACGTACCCCATAAATATATAAAAATGTATGTATCAATAAATTTTTAAATTTAATAAGCATTTGGTCCAACTTGACCATGTGTATGTGTGTGTGTTTGGCAGGTGGATGAGTATATGTGTATAGGTTTTTCATCTAATGGCAACTCTTTTCTAAGTCAAAGCAGTTATTTCATTTAGCAACTCTCCTCGACTGAAAAAGATAATGATATTTTATTTTTTCTATATAATGGAATGGTCATAACATATTCTATTACACAAATCTGGGTGATTAATGTAATTCAAGGAATATTTCATATTGCATTGCTCTTCTCCATGTAAAATCAGACACACCTATACCATTCCATTATCTTCATTTTTTAAAGAAATTCCTTGTAACTCAAAAAAAAAAATCCTCTTGAAACAGAACAGGCTAAAATCCACCTGAACAAACATCATTCCAATTTGCAACCTAGGCAAAATTTTTTTAACAAGACCAGGGACTAGAGGAGCTTGGAATTTGTCATTCCCTTTTGCACCAATGACACATCTGTGTCAAAACAGCACTTTTTTGAGTTGGTGCAATAGAAGTGAATGTGGCTTCAGAACTTAGACTTTTAAGAAAACCCAATATGCCTGTTCCTTTGTCTAGATCCTTTTATTTTCTTTTTCATATAAAACTGACATATAGGAATTAATCTCCAAAACTTATGGATCTTATCTCTCTCTGTATTTCAATCCTAACCTAACCAGCAAACCAGAGCTATCTATGCAAGAAGCTTAACTGAGTGTACGGAGAAATGAGCACAGACAACTACTGCTTCTTCTCTGTCCCAAAACCTGCTTCATGCTCTAGCAGAAGCTGATGGCTGGAGGCCAGCAATGGTGCAGGCCCTTTCCACTCAAGAGCCATGTAACCAGTACCTATCAAAGATGGTGTCTAGGAAGGCCCTTCCCATTCCCACCAACAACTGCATAGGAAATAGAATGAGGGAAAAGATGCTGTTGTTGAAATCCTTTTCTCCAAGAGTATATTGCACTTGACAGAAATCACAACGACCATTTCTCTCAATAAATGTAAAAGTCAAAGGAGGACTGACAGCAACACAGGAGGCAGCATAGTCTCGGAAAATTTATGAAAACAAAGTATAATGTCTTTGAATTTTGATGTGGAACTAAAGCACAGTCTGTAAGAAGCACCCCCCACCTGACCTTGTAAGATTTTTAACGAAAAAGTTACAGAAGTGATTCAACAGATCAAATGTCTAGTGGACCTAAGAGCCATATCAGTACTACCCAAAGGACAGAATTCATACAGCATCAAAGTTGTCCTGAAAACTTCGGTGCCTAATGACGTCTAAAGAAAATACGAAACTCTCATATGCCTAAAAGATAGTGTTATAGCAATTAAACAAAAAGAAAAACCACAGTCCTCTCTCCCATGAGTTTTAAGTAGTCTTCATTTCCCACAGTAGTACGTTTTCTAGATGTGTCTTGTCAATCTCAAAAAGTATTGGAAAGCAAGATTTCATTTAAAGGAAATTTACCTTAAGATAAATGCTTCTGTAAATGGTACTAACTTTGTGTCCATTTGAAATATGTAAATTGTACTATTAAAAACAACAATGAAGGAGATCATTATATATGTAGAAACACACACATCTTTACCGACTGTGCCCATTAACATACAGTATCTAGAGTTATGGTTTATGCATTTGTCTTTTAAATCATATAGAGAAAAAGAGAAGATACAAACTAAAAGTACAAAATTACTGGCTTTATATTTACCTATACAGTGACTTTTATTATTCATTGTTCATTATTTTTTTGTATAGCTCCTGGTTACTACTGAGTAGTCTCATTTCATTTCAGCCTGGAAAATTTCCTTTAGAATATCCTGCAGGGAAAATCCACAAGTGATGAACACCCTCAACTTTCATTTATCTCTGGGTTGTCTTAATTTCTTCTTTATTTTCGAAAATAGTTTTGCCAGATATAAAATTATTGCTTGACAGTTTGGTTCTTTTGACACTTTAAATATGTCATCCCACTGCCTTAGGACTTCCGTGGGTTCTGAAGAGAAATTGACTGCTAACCTCACTAAGAATCCCTTGCATGTGATTAGTCACGTATCACTTGCAGCTTTCAACATTCTCAATTTGTCTTTGTCTTTGGACAGTTTGATGATAAAGTGTCTCAATGTGAAATTTTTTGCCTTTATCCTACTTGGTGCTTGTTGAACTTCTTGGATGTACAGAATCATGTCTTCCACCAAATTTAGGAAGTTTTTGGTCATTTTTTATTAAAATATTCCTTCCTTTTACTCTCATTCCTTCCTTCTAGGACTCCTATTATTCTTATGCCTGAAAATTTTATAATGTCTCACAGGCCACTTAAGGCACGGTTAATGTTTCTTTCTTTCTTTCTTTTTTTCCTTCTCCTCAAATCAGATAATTTCAATTGACTTACCTTCAAATTTGTGGATTCTTTGCCTTGTCTGCTCAAATCTGCTGTTCAATCTTTCTAGTGAATTTCTTTTTCAGAAAATTTCCTCTGTATAGCTGTTTCTCCTTCCTGAGAGAGTTCTGAGTTATAGGAAATACAGGAAAACCTTTTGTATGGGTCCTTGGTGTTTTCCCTCCAGACCTACACCTGTGCTGCCACAGGCCTAGCCACTTCCTGTCTGTGATGGTGATTCCCTGCTTTCGTCCCTACAGGAGGCGGATGTCACAAACAGAACCCTGAGGTTTTTGTACACCTCCCTCCAACAATTCTCTCACTGTGGGCTCCATCAGGGCACAGAAATAGATCGCTGAGTCCCCCACTTGTGAAGCTGAGATGACAAGCTTGATGCTTTTGTTGGCCTTCTGGAAATTCAATGAGTAGCGACCTTCTGTTGCATTTTGCTGGTTATAGGAGTCCTGACGAATAAGGAGAAGCATCTCCCCACTGCTGGGCTGCTTGTACCAGAATAGAGTGTAACGACTATCACTGGTGTCATATGTGCAGTCCAGAGTCACAGCCTCCTTCTCCTGCACCAACATTGCTGGTTGGACCTGGGTTACCTTCTGGGCAATACCAGATCCTGAAGGAAAAAAAAAAAAATAGAATCAGAAGGTTTAAAGATGAGTGATGTGGACAAAGAAATTCTATTTTTACAACCTGTTACCCCTCTTTCCCAACATCCCCATAAGACACTCCCTGCACCCCAGTCCTTAGATCACAGAGGAAGCATATTCCCACTAGGCCATCCCTACCTAGCCACATTGAAGCTGTGACCACCTTCAGCAGGCTGCAGAGCAACATGTTTGTTTGGTTCTTCCTCTAGAGGGAAAATATCTTGTTCTCCTTCAGTTCCAGGACTGCACGGTGAGGTGAGTCTGACGGGATGAGAGAAGAATTACTGGGCTATGTGCTACTGCTGCTGCTGCCCTAGAACAGGAAACAGAGGTTTCCTGGTGTAGCAAGTTGGTGTGTGTCATGTCAAACTTCTGTATGTACTGACTCAGAATCTCATCTAAAGCAAAACTTCTTTTTGGATTAATCAATTCTTAATGTGATAACAATTAAGTCTGAAAATAAGCATAGGTATATTGAAAAGAATATTGATAATTCAACTGACTACTATATTCAGTCATTATGTCTGTGATGGAAATGGGAGGTTAGCACTTATTTAAAAATAACACATGTATATATAACTATTATGTACTCATAACAACTAAATTTTTTACATTAAAATGGATAAATAAAAAAATTTAAAAATATTACATATAATGGATGATGGAGACAATGTAAGAAGTGATAATCATATATCCTCACATCTATGTATGTTGTTGTTTCTCCTAAGGTGGAAATTAATCACATTAGGATAAAAAGGCAAAGCAGTTTAGACTAATCTCTGCAGACCTTTTGACTTCCTTATTGATATAACAATATTCCTCCTCACTTCCGATGTCTGTTCAGTGCCTATCTTGGGGCAAAACAGCAGAAAAAACTAATCTCCCTTTGCTGAAGAGTTTACCATGAAGCTCTCAGATATTGAGTCCTGTTATAAAGGTCCCCTTCTCTTCCCTACTTAATTTTGACAACCCAGCTCTGTTCATAAAATCTAGATTAGACACCAGAGTGTGGTCATTAAGTTATTAAATCTTTGAATTATGTTTTCCATTACCCCAGTTGGAGCCCTAAATGAGCCACAAGACAGTGCATTCTCTATGCCCAGTTCTGAATGGGATGTATCCTATACATATCCTATACATCTCCCGAGGAAAGCTGATCATAGCACGACTGAATGTGTTAAAACTTTCCTTGTATGTAAACACTATGGGGAAGGCCATGTCCTAGGGATATTACTCAACAACATGGCAAACAACAAAAACTCACTGCCTATCATAGCCTATTTCTTAATATAGCAGCCATAGCTTATCCTCCTTGTCTCAAAATAATTTCAGCCTTATCTAAATTGCTTGAAGCATCCTCAGATCTTTAATGGAATCACCATTAAATCCAATGAAAACACATACAGTACAACTGTTCTACTCTCTAAAAATACCCAATATTTTTTACTAGTTTACTATTTATGAAATATTAATTTCTGCTTATATTAATGGTATTCAATTCTAGTACATTTATCAGTCAAAAGATTCTCATAGTTGTACTTCTGTTATTCAAGGAGTGTTCATCTCCAGAACAGATATTTTGGACAATGTCATACCTACTTCTTAGTTAATTTTGTTTTTTAATGTCATATCTTTAAGAGGAATAATATCCAGCTGGTTGTGGGATAATTCACTCCAGACTCCATGATAAAATCTAGTCCCTTAGCAGAAGCAAAATTAATTCAAGTAGTTGAACTTGTTAATCTCCACTGAGCGTGTCAAACTACAAAAAATATATAGAGTGAGAGTCAAGATGTTTTAGTGTAGTTTGCCACTTCCAAATACTATGGAGACAATGAGGTTTCCTAACCTTTTAACTTTTTCTCAACTTGCTCATGTATCTCTATAAAACTGGACACCAAATACAAAATTATTTGATGTCTTGATGCTACTCAAAGAAATTTTTATAATAAAGACAGAGTACCACAGTGTAAAAGACACTATAGAAGCCAGGGAACAAATGCTTGAGCCAATGATCGTGCTAGACATGCCCTTCTGACTAAAGTCCTTATGCTAGTACCTCTTATAGAACATAAAGACAAATCCATGGAAAAGTTCAATAATTTCATCCTCGATGAATTATCCATTTGTTTTATCAATGAGGATTAGATATATCAAAGCCAGAAAGGCTTCCTAGTGGAACCCAAAGAACTTGCTAAAGCTGTCCAGAGACAGCTAATTGAAGGAGGGACGTATGGCTGCCATATTAAACAAATCCTTGGCAGGGGAAACTTTTCTAGGACAGCAGGGAATGTAGCCAGTTCATCTTTTTGGAACCAAGACAATCCCATGAAAACCATCAAAATGGGATATGAACTGGAATACTGTCTTAAGGAAACACTGAAGTATCTCCACAGGGTTGTACACAATTATATTTCCTGTGTCTGTTATGAGTATGTATTGGTAATAGTCTTTTTATTTTCTACATGGGTTGAAGGCGTCTCCCATTAGAAAGACACAGCAACTCACAATAGCTAAAAGCGATTTGATTTTGTATTCCCTACCTGTGACATTTCAAATTATCTGTAAGTGGGGAAACATATATTTTGGGGACAATTATGTGAGGTTTTGCCCTCACTCAGGAACTTTACTTTTTTATCACCTCGTGATTCTCTGAAAATGTGGAAATAGCAGATGGAATATTAAAGCTGATATTAATTACTATGTCAGACATCCTTGAATTCCCATGACCTAATGTATTATTGCCCTGAGCCGTCGTGGCCCTGCAGTATTCCCCCTCACAAAATCGTGTGTTCTCTCGCTGTGAACTGGTCACTAGTAGATCCATATTACTCAGAATGTCCTGAACCATACATATCCCATTCTTTTACAAACTTAACTAGATAAATAAACCTTTGATATTCGGTCCTTTCATCAACAGGTACAGGTTGGCTTTCAGGGTCTTTTATTTAATCAGTCCTCATATGACCTAAATCTGGGTGACTTCTGAGAAAAATTCCAGAGGACAACTGCCTTTGAACCTCATAGAAATGGTCTTCGCAGGTAGTATTTATTACCAGTTCAGCAGATAAAGTCCAAGGAGTTCATTTGTGTTTACTTTTTACCAATTAGTATGACATCATCCACCTTTAAATGACAAGAATTGAAAAGTTACTCATATTAAAGATCTTAAACTGAGGTTCTCTGGAGAATCTTCTGAAGCAGACATCCACAGAAGGATGACTGTTAAGATCCTTAAAACAGCATAGTTTCATAAACTAGACAGCTCCATCCAAGTCTAATGGAACAGAATTCTTTTGATGATTGGAACCACTGATTGTTATTCTGTCCTTTGCATTTTTTCTTCCTTTAGTCATATTTTCTCATTTTAATTATAAAATGTTATGTATTTCTAATTTAACCCACATTGTTCTTTTGCTAGCAAAACAATTTGTCTAGATATAGGCTTTACTTAAAGCAATAATCACCCTAATGCTATAATTCAGCTCTACAAAGCCATAGATACTGCAGCAAACTTAAAGAATTGTGGGAAAACCTAAATAGTAACTATACCCAAGGATGGCTAAAGTGAATTTTGATCAATCTAATTAGCCTTAAAATGTTACAAAAAGATCTATTGATAAAAATTTAGGATAGAGTTGGTACAATTGAAAACCCTCAACTGAACCTCTCTGTTATCAATTGCCATGGGGTTTCTTTTGTAGAATTATAAGTCAAATCTCCAAAGATACTCAAACACTGGAAATGATGAGTTATTCCTATGAAATGACTTATGAGTATAAAACATGCAGGTGTGGAAAAACCGGTGCATAAAGGCATAAATGGAGATCCAGAATGTACTTCCTCTAACCTATACTTACACTTCACACAAGTTTACATATTGTACAGTTCCATTCATATGACATCCAGAAAAAGATAATGGAGCAGAGCAAGCAGTTGAGGACGGGAAGGGTATGATTGTGAAAGGATAGCACAAGAGTGTTTCAGGGGTGATGAAACTACTGCATGTTTGGGTGATGGTTACATGAATCTATAAAATGTGTTAAAATTCAAAATTCACAGACTGAACACGCACCAGAAAGTGTTCATTTTTCTATATGGTACTTTTTAAATATAATTTAAAATACTGAGAAAATAAAATAAAACAATTGATGTTATGTCTATTTTTCTGACTAGACTGTGCCTAATACATATATCATTTTCTCAATGTGGAAAAGAAAAGCACGAGTCATGCCAACTGTGGTAGGCAAAATAATGCCTACAAAAAAAATAGGATCCTACTCCCCGGAATCTGTGAATATTACCTTTTATGGCAAAAAAAAAAAAAAAAGACTTTGCAGATATGATTAAAGGAAGGATACTAAAATGGAAAGATTATCCTGGATTATATGGGCCTTAAGGGCAATCACATGCATACTTATAACAGGGAGGCAGAGGGAGACATGACAACAGGAGAAGAGAAGCCAGTGTGACCACAGAGGCAGAGATGAGAGTGATGAGGCCTCAAGCCAGGAAATGCTGGCAACCATCAGAGTTGGAAGAGGCAAGGAACAGATCCTCTCCTACGGTCTCGGAAAGGGGCCCTCCTGACACCTTGATTTCAGTTTAGTGAAACTTATTGCAAAAATATTTCTGTTGTTTTAAACTAGAAAAATTGTGCGCAGGCAATAGAAGAAAATACACCAACCTTAGTATATTCGTTCCACATGTTTTATTTAGTTTCATTGATGTATTTGTTTCAATCGATGCCAACCTCAGAAGGTGGTTTTAAAGTAAATTTTATTACCTGTTAAGGTTTAAAGCTTAAATGTGTCTGGATCTCAGCTAACTGTGTACTGGCTCTGCACACTCTGGCTAAGGAATTATTTTTCCTTTCATTTGAAAAATTGCCATCTAAGTAAGATACAGCAATTAAACCAACAGCAATTACTCTCTCTCTTTTAACGAAGAAATAAACTGATAGAATATAAACCATGACTCCCACTCATTCCATTTTCAGGCCTGGAGAAAATAAGCTGATCAAGAGTCAACTTGCTTCTACTGGACAGGAGCTAGTGGTATAGAAACACTAATAATAAAAGCCAGTTGTGGTGCTGGGCCTAAATACTGACTATTCTTGTTCAGGTGTTTTAACCTTAATTTAATCCAATGAGTTTCCCTGCAAGAACAATCCACTTAGCTATAACT